GGAGAAAATGTCTACAATGAAGAACTTCCACAAATGACAAATTTCATTACACTGGAGACTGGAATTGTCAAGGTCAAACCACATCCCACACTTTAAATAAGAAATTATTTGACTGAATTGCCTATGTAAAATAAGTGTCTTTTTGCATGGCTTAGATTATTAAGCACACCCCAATTCCCCTTTTCCAGGCCTTTTGTTTCTTAAATATTAGCTCCCAAATTAAAATGAACAATCTTTTATTAGGGCCACACAACAGAAGTCTACACTATAGACTTCTGCCAGTGTAGCTGTGTCGGTGGTAGGAATAAAGAAGTGTGAACCCTGATGGACGTGGCTGGGTCATCAGAAATCCCTTGTGTAGACACATGAAACATTACATACCAGCAAAATGGTACTTTTATGACACCACAGGCTGCGTCCGAACAAGCGTGGCCATGCAATATGTGGCACCACAGGTATGCAGCGCCACACACTGCAGATTCTGGCATTTCCCACACTGCTACTTGCAGCACCGGAAGCAGGGGAGGGGGAGATTCGTTTAAGGAGATCCCAGGGTCAAAAAAAGCCAGGTAGAAAAAAAGCAGGGTGGTGTTTGTGGAGGCAGCACACACTGCCCAAAACTGGAGCCTGGCTGGCAGGAGGCACACTCAGTTTCCCCAGCCCCCAGGATCCCAGGTCAGGCTGCTGAGGCCAGCACAGCTGCTGGTCCCAGCATCCCCTACCCCATCCGGGGTAACCTGCCACACGCCAGAGGGCACGTAGCACAGGCGTTCCCCAGAGACAAGCAGCAGCGGTACAAGGTGTGCTGCTGCTAGTTGTCCCCATGGAACCAAATGTCTGTGCTCATCTGCATACCACCATAAAGGCTTGCTTCACTTGCTGAAAAGTTGATTTTACAATGCCAACACAAGGCATAGGTTTACCAGTGTAGTTATGTCTCTATTAGGAATTTGCCAAACTAGCTATTCTGTAAAGCACTGCCAAGGAACTTGAACCCTGGTTCCAAAAGAAGTAACCAGAGTTCTGTAACGCAGGTGCCAATTGCAAAATAAGAAAGAGTAGGATGAGCTTTTCCTACTGTGTATTCATACTACTCTGTAATACCTGCACTGAGAAAAACACCTGCTCTGAAAGAAAAGAATCTGATTCATCACTTAGCTAAAATAAAGAGAAAGTAATGGGATTTGACAGCTTTACTGGGAGTGAGCAGGATCAGTGTTAATGATTTCATGCAGCCTTTGCACCGATCAGAAGTAGCCTGTTGCTTCCTGGCCTCACTCTTGGCACTCTTATCTCCTAAAACCTGGACAGAGCACTTACAACTTGGCATAGCTCCTCCATTTCTTTGCCATTTACTCACTTACTTCCTTAAGAGTGAAACCGGAAGTAGACAGGAGTTTCACCATTGACTGAAGTTGGGATAAGATCAGGCCCTGATATAGAAACTACTATGACTTGATATTTTTTTCCACAATAGTGTCCATGGGCATAGGCATGGGCATGGGCATGGGCAAGTGCACACAGAAACACACATGCACACGTACCCTTGCAGGCCCTGAATGCAAAGTAATTCTGTAATGGTTCACATCACTTGATAATCTAATTAACGTACAATTATTTTCTACTTTAACACCTTTACCCTTCCCTGCAACCCCAAGTTTGATACTTACTGATGCCAACTGCTGTAATAAACTTAATTGCAAGGTCTGGGATTTCACATTGCATAAACAATGGCTCTAAAATATGACGTCCAAAGGCTAGGGATATTACTGCTGTAGCAGCAGGCCTAAAGTAGACAGAAAGAAATAATCAAGAAATTATGGTTAATCTATAGCAATGCATAGACAACATATATACAGGAACATTGTGCTGCTTTATCTCAGGACTGTGATTGCTGATTAAATTGTACCTAAGATTATAAACATTTTGGGAAGGAAATTTGCTCAAACTCAGCATAGCTGAGAAGGGAAGCTGCTTTGCTACATCCCTCAATGCTGGGGCTGGCGCTTGGCACAAGTTAGAGTATCTACAAGCTGCTATAACTTATGGAGACTGCAACCGTCCTTTTAAATGGTCACCAGATATCAAATACAAATGTACTCCCCCCAACCCTTGGAATGTGTTTGCAGTGTTACGTGACAGTGAGAAACTCTTTGCCTGTGACAATGGGGAACCTGTTACCTATCAAGTTAAGCAATTCACCTACAAACAAAGCAGAATAAAATAGTAACAAAAACATGTGGCCACTTCAAATATGATTTGCAGGACTTATTTCCTCCTACTTCTCAAACCAGCAAATTAGTCACTGTTGTGCAAGCTTCATGTGAATTGATAATGTAGTACATAAGGTTTACAAATTCTAGCGTGCACTAACATGGTTAAAGACAGGAAGAACACCAAGTAACTTTGGTTTTCTTTTAAAAATAATAACCCACTGATGTCATGAGAACCTTTGTTGTCATCATGACCGGCCTTAAGCCTAATAAATATTAACAAGGAACGAGAATGATGTCAAAACATCCCTGAATCATTAAATCTGAAAGCCAGCCAAGGGAACAGACTTGTTATAGCTTACAGATAGAACCATATTGCTAAATTTCTGTGTAGAATTGTATTTCTGATTCTCACTGCTGTAAACTAATTGGCTGCCACTGAGAGAACTAAAGGCCTGTAAGTGTATTAGTTCTTTTAATCAAAAATGTTGCACGCAGTTTTCTCAGCTAAGCCCTTTTCCCTGTGAGAGACTGCAGTGTTAACACACCCACAGGATCTTGGAGCAGCCACAATCAAGAACAAACATTTCCTCCCCCCACAATCATTTTAGGAACTGTTACAAATCTAAGAGACATTTAAACTGTCCTACCAACCATCATATTTAAATGAATTTCTCACTGTACTCTTCCCTTCACTATTGCAATTACGGAGGTTTTTTTTCCCCTAGAGCCACGTTACCACTAAGCTTTAAAACTATGCAGGAGTCACCACAGCATTTAAAGATGGTAGCTGCTAATAGGCTTTTAGTCATGAGTTGAACAAGAACATACTGCCAGCTGCACCAGTTTTTAGAAAAATGGTATGTGCTGGCAGCACATTGCAAGTTTCCACTCACATGGTATCATGCTATTTATACCTTGATCAAAAGGTATTAACCTTTTTTATACCTGCTAGTGAAAACAAAAGCTCTTCAGAACTTGGAATTGTTTTCATATAATCTTTTCGTTCATATAATGCAAAAAAAGCTCTGTAACATTGATCCACTGATTTCTTTGTTTGCGGATTGCAACTCTTAGCAAAGGCCCCAGAAAAATGAAAGCCCATAAGACTTTCCTAGAGCCGCTGCAAGCTTATTTTGTGGGTGTAAAAATAATGGTGACACAGCTAGCTATCACTGTCTCTTTTTAAGAGGTCTCTAAAAAGCCTAGGCAAAGCTCTGGAAGAAAGAGGTGGAATTGAGGAAGGAAGTTGCGTGTGAAATTTTAGAAGTTCTAATCTGACATTCAGTCTGTTTCTGTACATCTCAATTGATGTAAATGTCCACTGTCTAAATTCTAGGAGCTTTATTTCTCTCTCATTTACACCTGTGTAAATAAGGTGTTAGCTGAAGTTAAAATAATACCAGGTTTGAATTGACGTGAGAGGGCAAGCAGGCACTGAGTGTTATTATATTCCTCTGTGTGTGAATGAGAGAGCCAGTATCACTGATCACTCAGCTAACCCAGAAATGTTCTTTAGATAGTTTTATTTACTCTCTTGCAGTCTGATCCAACATAATGTGTGACGTTTGGGCTGATTTGCAATGTTAAGAAAATATTTTTCTTTCTAGAGACAAAGTTCCCTTTTGGAAAAGGCTTTGTGGAGATTAATAACTTTACCACAGAACTTTTAAATTGTCCTATACAATTTTATATCTTGAATATTTTATATTAAATTCCACAGGGCAATTTAGTTTCTATCAACAGGATGGTATTCTGTGAAGTTTAATTGAGTGTTCCAGCAATTTCCATATAATCCTGTTTAACTTAAACATATTTCTACTGGTTTTCATCATTACAAGATTTTCTATAAAAGTTTGGTTGTAAAAATACTGAATTAGTTTAAACATGACAGAGCCTAAACTGCCATGTATCTTGTGGACTGAACCAAATCTTTAATTTGTTTTAGGATTCTGGCTAAATGCCATGCTCCCAAAAATGACATAACCCATAATACAAATAAGTTTGAACAAAGTAACCAAACTACAAGTATTATACTAAAAATAGAGCCCACCAACATAAAAACATTTTATTAATATAAATATAGTAGTAAATCAAGACATGAAACTATAATATTGTTATACAATGGAGACAATAAAATCAAGCCTAATGTTAAAATGTAAAATGTATCACTCATATCAGTAATAAAGGATATTTAGGCTTTATCTCCTCAGCCTTGTAAGCACAAATTGTGAAACAGTTTATTACGTTTGGATTTGTTTGCTGCAAAAGCCAGATTAATTGCTCTCCGTCTGAGAAGTGTATCAATTTCTGGAGGTACGGTAATAAATAGGTTCTTTTTATATCATTATATAAAGAACATTCTAACACGTAGTGGACAGTAGCTTCCACAACTCCTAGACAAGACTGGGCAACATCTTTTAGCCCTTGGGATAGAAAATCTACGTCCAACCAGAACAGCTGTGGGCATCTGTTCGGTCCTGAGTCTAGTCAAAGAGAATTGCCATTTATTATTGAGATCCAACTGTAGATACCTTTCTCCCCACTAATCTAATTTCCAAAGTGTATATAAAGGGACAATGCGAGTAGCCCTAGCCACTACAAAATCATTCTGCCTGGCAGTATATCGTATCCTCTGGAAAGCTCGAACCTTTTTGATGGGGGAGAAAGATCTTTCATTTTCTTTGAGGTAGTATCTCATACCAGAAAGTGCAAAAATGCAGGAAAGAAAAGCTAACCAGGGTGAATGGAGAGGAGGGGCATAATTAACATCTTCTATCTAGCATAATTTAAGCAGATGAGATGGTAAAAGGGGAAGGATTTTAAACCAAAATCCCGCCACTCTAATAATAATATTAGTTAAAATAGAATCAATTCCCATCTCTAATCTCAGAAAAGATGCAGGAGTTGAGGGAGGAAGAGCCAGAAGAGAGGTATGTCTACATCATTACTAGAGACATAACCCCATACTTCAGTGCCATATAAGATCTGAGAGGTAGCTTTGGCTTTGTACGCTGATATAAGAGCTTGGACTGATCACCCTGCTGTGGTTTCATAAAATTTCTTTATAGCCACAGCCAGTTGGGTTGCCTTAATTTTAGCTGACTGTATATGATGTTTCCTTGATGGAGAAGCTGTGCCTAGGACATCAAATATCTATAGGTTTTGACAACTTCAAGTTTGGTTCCCCCTATATTCCATGGATATTTCATCAAATGACTTCCCCGATACAATATTTTGGATTTATCATAAATTATCTTTAAATTATTTTGTCCACAAAAATGCTCAAAAGTTGTAATTGCTCTCCAATTACAAATCCAATAGGACTTCTTGACAGTATAACAGTGTCATCTGCATACATTAAAATAGGAATCAGGGTTGCTTATAATTTTGGGGGATGAAAATGTGCATCCTACATATTTCCAATAATATAATTCATGTAAAGATTAAATAACCAGGGGCCAAAATACATCCTTGTCTAACCCCTCTTTGTATGTGAATTTTTTGTGCGAGTTCACCCTTCAAGCCCCACCTAACTTGGGCCCATGTATCTTTATAATATTTTATCAACAAATGCAAAAGAGAAGGGTCAATCCCATAATTTATCAGTTTTTCCCAAAGTTTACTTCTATCTATACTATCAAAGGTTCTTAACAAATCAACAAATGTGATATACACAGTGCTGATTTGTGCATTTGCGTATAAATTATGCTTCAAAAATTGAAGAATGGAATGTTATCAATAGTGGAATATCTCTCCCTAAATCCGGTCTCATGTTCATGTAATATGTTTTCCCCTTTTACCCATGCTATGAGAAGATATAACAAATGGCACCCAAAAATTTTAGCTTAAATGTCTATCAAACTTACAGGGTGATAAGATTCTTGCTTATCTTTCAAACCTTTCTTGAAAACCAGTACAATAAAACTCCCTTTCCAGGAAACTGGGATTTCACCCAACTCAATTAATAGAGTTATACCATTTTTCCAGGATCAGAGTCCACCATTTAATTTGTTTTGTTTTGCTGCATTTAAATTTCCAAGCACTTTTGCTATTTTTTGTTTTGACCATAACAAGAAGTAGAAATATTGAAGCATAAATCTGTTATAATTGAGCCTTACTACTAGGGAGTCAGACCATGTACCCTCATGGCTCTTCATCCTTTATTGCATCTAGCCGCGTCAGTAATTCTCAACCAGTATGCCATGGCACTCTGGGGTGCCTTGAGACCCTTTCAAGGGTACCACAGGGTGCCACATAATGTTAATACTGTTAGGTGTGCAAATCACAAGATAAACCCAGAGATTTCAAATAAGAATCCAGAGTGTCAAAAACGTTCTGCCCTGCTGTGGTCTAAGTTCTCTGCAACAGAATTACCACTCTAGTATTTATCTGTTGTAAAAAGCACAAGCGAAAACTAAGAGCAGACATTTTCAGAGGGATTCCTGGAGTCTATTGAGGGGTGCCTCAAATCTTAAAAGGTTGTGCTATGCGACAGAGGCATAAATATAAAAAGCTGAACAGGGGGATCATATGTTGCCATAGTCAGTTCCATAGTCATGTGTTCCAAACACATGAGGGGTACAAAGAGAAGTCCTATCTGAATTTATTATTATTATTATTTACTACATGGGTACCTGAAATATTACTAATATGGGATAAGCCTTGTAACATCATAGCCATAAAACCAAGTACTGTAGCTGAACTTGAATGAAAACTAGTTTGATTTGGGGTTTTTTCCAGAAGACACAGAGAGAGAGTCTGCAAACCAAAATGTCAGTGCTGGCAAACCAAACAGAAAACAGTTCTGAAGCAGAATAAAGTCTGAGAGTCAAAATGCATTAGACTATCTCTGTCCATCACCAATCAAGTTTTTTTGCTGTGTTTCAATGTAGTGACATTGGAACAACAAGGGTTAAGAAAACCTACAGGAGACTCACCGTATTATAAGCAGTTCCACCCAGACTCTAACAAAAGCAGGTAATGGTCCAAAGGCTTCCAGGATGTATGTGTAATGGCCTCCAGATTTCTTGATGCATGTTCCTAGTTCCGCGTAACAGAGTGCACCTATGAAAAATGTATTTATATTATGTTGTTTAACAAACAGTAGGAACAGGGTAAATAGTAGAGCTTGTTAAATCTTAGATATTCTTCAATTTTTTTTCATTAATTCAAGCAGCCTCAAATAATGTGTGCATGTAATGTATTCAATTACATTTGATCCTAAGACACTGAATAGCTTATTTGTTGATACAATGTTTCATTGCTCAACCAATTCATAGTGAACAGGTAAATGAAAATGCTGTGTCATGCTAATGGGTCTGGTTACCTATCACACAAGTCCCGTCAGGATGACACATCATTGGTTCAGACCCTACTGAAATGACAAAGGCCTGGAAATTGTACACTTTTAACCCTTGTTGTGAAACATATTGATGAGACAATGTCAGGAAGCACGCACTCTTGATACAGCAATGTACTTGCGAGTACTGTTAATTTACTCTAGTACTGGGGGGTTGACTTACTGAGGTCCCTTCCGACCCTAATATCTATGAATTCCTCGTGCACACTGGCTAACCAACACCCAAAATCAAGTTTTTCAGCACTTACACAGTCTGATATGCACTCCTAAACTGCATTTCTGTCTTAATCATAGAGGGCCTTCATGCCCCCTTAACAGGAGGACTCTTCTTCAATAGAATAGGAGAACACAGTCTTCAACATGTTTACACTTGCTAAAATAAAATATAAAACAATATTGGTGTCGTGGCAGTCTGTTCCTGCAAAAGTCAGGAATGGTTGTTCCTTTTTTAAATGGATTTGAGAAAAAATGGTACCATACCACTGGAGCATTCGCTAAGACTGCCACCTGCTTTCTTCACCCTTCATGCAGCATTTGGTAGTAGGTAGCCACTATAAGGACTTAGGAGCATAAGAACAAAGAACTGAAAGGGGTCTCCTGGACCACTGTATTTTCAGGCAAACTGTTACCCAAGGAATTCCCAATATGACCACTTCAAACCCACAAAGACAATTTCAAAGCACAAAACCAGAAACCCAAAAAACACCCTGTAACATCCCACAGGTAAAAATAGAGGAACCTAGACTACTGCTAATGCTATGACAGAAGTAATTGCTTAACATGCATTTGGATGAATACAAGAAGGAGACCAGACCACATGCTACAGAGAAAGGCACAGTCTTTTCCAATCTGACCTAAGAGTCATAAGTCTTCCTGTCCAAATTTGTCAATCAGTGGCCATGATTACATGAGACCCTGACTGTGCAGTAGCCCAATATTAGTGCACCAGAGTGCTGCATGGCAAAAACTGTGATGCAATGCTATTGTGGAGTAGTATTAGGCACAGTAGCATCAAAAAGAAGGCATTCACTAGCACCACTGTACAGTAACTTGGGTTACTCCATATTTATTTACTATCTGTTTATGCAAGTACTAAATTAATGCACAGTAATCATTCACACACAGTAATCTCATGTAGACATGGCCACTGACAGAAGAGCAAAGCACAAGATGACCCCAAGCAGAAGAACAAAGTCTTTTAGCCAGGAAGATCAAATGTTCTCAGCTCCATGTGTGGACAACGTTAGTTAAGGAGAGGTGTATCTCATAAATACCGTTATAAATGGTTTAGTAACATGCAGGAATACAGAATCAATAGAACTATATGGTTTTAATAAATCATGGCTTGCAGTGTTATGATCAGTGATATATATGCAGTGGTCAAGGATGCAGTCCCTCAGCAAACAATGCTGTAGCATTTTAAGGTATAAACCACATTTTTCAAAGCAGCACAACACTCAAAACCAATCGTATGCCCAGTGTTCTTGGTCACATACATACTTGCCTGTGATATAGTCTGACAATAGAGAAAGCACTACATAATATACATTTTTTTCATTCATAGGGATGTATTCTACAGCCATTATAACGTGTTTATTAAAAACTCTATGCATATCGCACTTGCTTCGATTTGGGGCCCTGCTGAAGTCTTTGTGTGGTATTAATTAATATAACTGATATTCTACCTAAAGTGATTGGAGAATCACATTTAGAGAAACCAGTTGATGTGTTTTTTCTTGCCAACTTTATCTGGAAGGTTGTAAGACAGAATCAGTCTGAAAGAAGCTGTTGTAATGTTGCAATCAGCAAGCATCACCAAGACCACTGGTGATGAAAAATAGTATGTATGACATCTTATCACAACATATCACAACATGAATGTATGACATTTTACATGTGTATGACGTGAAAAATGTATGACATCTTATCCCAACATATAAAGGCAGAGGGGAAAAAATAATGTACTATATTTAATCACTCTGTTCATGTACCATATAACTATGAAGGTTAAATTCAAATATCCTGTGTTCAGGCAAGGTTGTGTCTTTAGTTTTATCTGAAGGCCAGCATATAACTGGATCTTGAAGTGTTTACTTCAAGAAAAAGGTGTGGGTCTTAGGGAGTACCTTCAGAGTCGATGGCAAATTATTGTTGTGTCTTATATTTTTTCTCTAATGAAATAAATTCAACCTCTGATGAGAAGGGGCCCTAACATTTTTCAACATTCTTTTTCATTCTTTGTATTCCTTCATAACAATCAATGTTCCTGGCCAATTTACCCAAGGCAAAATTCACGTCCCATCTATTAAGCAGGCACGTGCTACTTAGTGTTTTCCCTCTTTACCACATGCCAGAAACAAGTAGTCTGGATTTTAAGTAAAGCCAGTATTCGTGTCAGTTGCTCAGGTTTTTTTGTGTTTAACTCATTAAGTTGGTGAATAGACCTTCTGTTCCACATAATCAAGGGTGCTGATATCCACTGTGAATGCAGCTCTTTATACAACAAGACAAATAAACTGGCATTCATAAGGAGTTCTAATACTTTTACTAATGAAAATGTGCAAAAATTATAGCGAAATGCATTCCAGAAGACAAAGTTCACACTGTGTGCTTGTTTCGAAATTCCTCAATTTTGGGGATGCAGTCTTTCATAATATATCGTGAACTGATAAATGAAGTGAAAAACAGTTGCAGAAAGTTTTAATTTCATTCAGTTTCTTGCCAGTAAATGTTTCTGTTATTCAACTGGATCAGATGAGCAGGGAACTGAGAAAAGCTGTTTAAACATCTCACAGGTGTTCAAAATGACCAGCCCATCTCTCCAGCTGCCAGCACCTTGCAAGCATGCTGTAAACTAATCCATACATTTAAAACAAAAACATCAAACATATACCACATTTCACAATACAGTAATAGATACTTCCCTCTCCTGATATATTAGGGATGCATTAAAAACACTGTTTGGTCTTAGAGTCTTCATAAAGCCCTTCATTAGAGTTTTATGCCATAATGCTCATGAGAGAGGCAATATAGATTGCACGCAACTGTACCATTGAGAGAGCCTATCAAATAACAAATAAGTATCCATAGTCTTATTGGTCCTCAAGCATCAGACTGAGCTTTGATATCCAATAGCAAAAATAAGGAGAGAGTAATTCACCAGCTGTCCCAAAGGAGCAATTATAAACTTTGACTAACTTACCAAACAGTGAGAGGATACCACACACTGTCCAGACAACCAAGGACATTCCCACGCTGCCGGTGTTCTCCAGAATTCCTTTAGGAGAGATGAAGATTCCTGCTCCAATGATAGTACCAATTATAATGGATACCCCTCTCAACAAAGTTACTTTTTTCTTCAGCACTACTTTTTCTTCCCGGACTGGCTCTTTGCTGTCCATAGAAGGCAACCTGCCATTAGATTGCCCCTCCACATAGCTTCTATTAGTGATTGTAGGTACAGCAGGTTTCCTAAACATGCTAGCAATCAGCACACTCAAAACAAACAAAACTTTAAAAAAAAAAAAGTTGTGGCTGACGCTCAAGGTTTCTTCCTCTATTTGTGAGTAGCTAATTGCTCTCCGTGTCTTTCCAATGCCTTCCAAGCTGGTCCTACACACAGGTAAACCATTCAAGGTGTATTTTCACTCTTCATTGAAATCTAAATGCTATTCCCTAACATCTGAACTCTCCCAGCACAGGCTGGTGCTGCCTTGTCATTGGAAACCAGTTCTGCTTCCGCATGGGCTTGTATTTAAGCTCCTGTCATACCAAGTTACTCCTGCTGAATGATGATGCAAATTCTGCAGGTTTGCATCAGCCATCTGGGATTATTCAGCACTTTTTTCTTTCTTTCTTTCTTTTTTTTTTTAAACGGTAGGGGTATGTTGCACAACTGACCTGAGCTATTTAGGAAGAACAAAGCTCTCACTTAAAAGGAACCTTAACCTATCAGGCAGTAGTACATTAATGTCGACACACTCAAACACACTCCCAAGTATTTAAAAGAACTAGTACTGAGACACAAAAGCCTGTTTCAAAATACAAAGCCCTTCAGCCAGAAACAAAAAAATCAAACAGGATACGTCATCTTTGGGTCTTCTCCAATTCTTTTTTTCAATAACTTCTTTTCACTACCGTCTACTTCAGGGTTTTCAACTTTTGTGTCTAGTTTGTTTGTCTAAAAAACTATTTTCTTTACCTGAAAATTGACATAGATCCTACACATATTTACAGAGACTACATATAACCCTTTTGCTACCTTATGTTGCCCAGCAACACATCCAAATCAGACTAGTGAAAAATGTAGGTTATTTCCATAGAGTTGCTCTCATGTTAGTGTTTCTGTGATGCGTATGAGGAAGCTACTGATGAGAATCCCCCTGCAGGAACTCTTGTTAACATTTACAGCAAACTCTTTTAAGATCTAATGGAACATTAAAGGGAATGCAGTGACTCAGATACCAGAAATTTGCATGCGACCATGATGTTTTTCTGAGCGGATTAACTGATAAATTCCAAATTCTTTACTTTCATGTCCTTCTAACTCACATGAATTATTTTATTTCAAACCACCACACGAAAAGTTAAAAACAAACACGCAAACAAAAACAGTTCATAAAACAACAACAAAAATAGTCCCTCAAGTCTTTATAATCTCACTGTGCAGAGTACTATATGCCAAAGGGGGGAATCCTACATAACTTAAGTAGAGCAGCTGCTCATGGCTTCAGATTTAATCAGCGCAATGAGAAATTATTATTGCCTCACATGCTCCCTTTACAGTTATTGCTTAATTAGCTCCAAGATGGAAAAATATATTAGCTAAACATTTTATCATTTCAAAAGAAGACACTATTCTTTGAGTGTATCTTAGTAATACACTCAGTGTAGAGCTGCACTCTTAACACTCTAGTTGTAAAACCCAAATCAATATTTTAAAAGACCTGTATTTTCAGGGGCTGTGACTTGTCTGTAATAATTTGTGTGGTGGTAAAACTAGCTATAAAAATCTTGGCTGGTATTAATATACAGAGGTACAAACACAAAAAACATAGTTTTTGCACATATATTTGCACTGTTACAATTTTTAAAAGAAATTTGCACTTCTTCCTCTATACTCCTTGCATATTCATCACCAGATACTTTGATTTCTCCTCTATTTATACACCTCCTCCCATGAGTGACAGGTGCCTCCTGAATCTGGGGTGCCACCCACAAAAGCCGCCAACCCTGTCAGGGGGGACACCAGCTCTACTGACAGCATCAGTGTTCGCTGTCAGGGGGGCACCGGCCCCGTTGGGGGGGAGCATGTGCACCCCCATGCACCCCCTACCTGTCACCTATGCCTCCTCCTTAGTCTGTCTACCATGTGCCTGATCTGCTCCTAGGTAAAAGAGCAATGATTCTTTGACTGAAAAACATTGAATACCACTCAGGTACATGCCAGTGAGGTATCTGATCAAATTATTAACCACTGGCCTGGGCTGATGTTCTTAAACTGAATTTAAAGGTGCAGAATCACAAGCACCCAGCAGGACTTCCTTGATCAGTGCCTCAGGGATATATGTTATATATATACCCTTATATAGTCTTTAATCAGTGCCTGACATTTATTTAAATGGGAAGGTAATTAAATGGGAAGGAGCTACAGATCAAAAGAAGTATTAAGCCAGCTTCCAGACAACTCCAAGGCAGCTCCCAGCACTTCAGAGCTCTGCCTTGAATATTTGGTACAAACTTTCAAAGGAGTTAAAAACCTTCACATTTATTTGACCACAGGTCCTCCTTGCTTTTAGGAAGATAGCAACTCACATGGACTTCCATGTGTGTATGTATGTATATGGTGACATAATTATTTAACCAATAAGCTGTTCAATTAAAACATAAACTATGATTTTCTGTATGTCTTTAGACCTTGGGATGATTTATCAGTAATAGCACCTACAGCTTTTACTTTAGCTTATGATTTCCCTTATGTTGTATGAGTCCCTTAGGCGCTCCTGGCGCATAGCATTCGTTGGAGTAGCCTACGGCCTTTCTAACTTAGTGCTAGACCAAGAGCAGAAAAGAGGTAAAGTTATTTAAAGTCATGTTTTCATATGCCTTCTTCACTGTAGCTGAGACTGAGAGTCTCTCTGAGTTCTCATAATTCTGGGTAGAACCTACAACACTTTGAAGGGTCCTGCAATACAAATAGTAACAATAGCTACTTTAATAGCAGCCTTCAACTACCTGAAGGGTGGTTACACAGAGAATGAAGCCAGACTGTTCTCAGTGGTGGCAGATGACAGAAGAAGGAGCAATGGTCTCAAGTTTCAGCAAAGGGTGTTTAGGTTAGTTATAAGAAAAAACTCTCACAAGGATGGTAGTAAAATACTGGAACAGGTTACCCAGAGTGGTTGTGGAATCTTCTTCCTTGGAGGTTTTTAAGACCTGGCTAGGCAAAGCCTTGGCTGAGATGATGTAGCTGGGAATGGGTCCTGCTCTGAGCAGGATTTGGACTACATGACCTCCTGAGATCCCTTCCAACCCTCATTTTCTCTGATTCTACTCAACAAAGTCAGAACAGTCACATTCAATTTTGAACAGCAGGGTCGTTCAGTAATGGAAACAAATCAGCTAAATTAAGGAAAGGCTTAGTTCTTGACATTGAACCTTTCTGTCATCTTCTCTTGCTTCCTCACTAATCTCTGATAACACCTGCTACTTAACATACAGTCAGTTATTACACCTGTGGCTTCACATTTTCTCACTGGTCTGCCTTGCTTCAGGCAAAACTAACTTGGAGGAAGTGCCCTGCAAAGAAAGCTCCATTGGCCCTGAAGTCCCAATAGGCTATCCAAATCTCAGGTTTGGGCATGCATGGATAAGGGCAGCTGCACATCCATTTACTGATGGGTGGAGCCCTGACTGCTTCTTTCAACACGCTACCAGCAATGCTGAGCTGGCACAGGGAGGAGTAGTTTACAACTAGTACAGAACTGCCGTGAATTGCTACCCCCTGGAGCAAGAAGGGAATAGGGAGGGAATCATAGGTAAGGCATACTTCTTTCCCTACAGTGCTTTCCTGTGCAGCCCTTAGCTACTGCTGTAGCAAATTCTGTGACTGTGAGGCTATGGCAAAAGCTAGCCGCTTGACATTTGGGCTCTTAACATAAAAAGTAATCATTGGTGTCATCAGCATCCCATATTCTGCAGAGAAAGGGGTAACAACCCTGGGGCACTTTTAAAGACGAGAACAAAATTAGTCTTTTTGGCAAATTTGTTGTGAATTCTCTGCCATCTAAGCTTATTTCCAAGACAAGAGGGAACCAGTGACAGACACCTTAAGATCTCACAATCAATGTTATGCTTACCCAATCTATCCTGAGTCAGATGTGGCCACAAGGAGTTACTTTCACTGGTAGTTTTAATTTAAACTGTTCCAAGTTAATGCAGGATTATGGCATTACTAAAAAAAACACAGCACAGTACACAACCATATTTCCTAGGGAAGTCTTCAGGCCACCTGAAGCTTAACTTGTTCACTACTGAAAACATACTCTGTCAGACCTACAATTTTAATTTTTTAAGGCAATAACTCCTTCAGGATGCTGAAAATATTTTAGGGCAATAGGAAGCTCTCCCACAAAAAAGAAAATAAGATTTCACCTCTGCTAGCAATTGGAAAGATGCACAGCGTTGTCATATTTTCTATGCTATATTCCCAGTGTCAGGTTCATTTCCTGAACAAAAGTTTTAATACATAAACTAGATTAAAAATGTAAAATGGTTTCCTCCTTCTGAACCTTACTATCACCATGTCATGAAACATTTATCTTTTTTATGCCAAACAAAATTCTTAATCAAGAGTAAACCTAATGAATTCTCTATAGGTTTTTGCCTAAAATTTGCAGATAACTGAATTAGCATATGACCCTGCTAGACCAATGGTTCTCAACCCTTTTAGACACAAGACACCCCTTATTAGACTTAAGACAGCCCTTAGAAAATGCCAGCTCTTAGTTTTCAGTAGATTTTTGACTACAGAAAAATTAAATAGAATAATTCTTCAGTTGCAAAGAACTCAAAAAACCCAAAACAATCAGAATGTTGTTGAAACCATGAATTTCTATTTGAAATCTGTATGTTTATCTTGTGAATCATGCTTGCACACCTAGCCATGCTAATATTGGGTATATGCAGGCAATACCTTTGGATCAGCCTAACCAGGGTTAGATCAACCAAAATGCCCATGTGTTCCCTGTAGAGCTCCCAGGAGCAGTGAATTGCTGTGTATACTGATCCTGGTCTAGTTTTAGGCGCCTTAAAGCAAACTGCCTTGACCTAGACCTGGTACAATGAACACTCATTTGTATCCATTGTGTGACACCCCATGGCACCCTTGAAAGTTTCTTAAGATACCATAAAGTGCCTCAGCACCGTGGGTGAGAATTTGTGCTAGACCCACCTTACGAGCTCCTCTTGATTTCAAGAACAAAGAAATAGCAAGATATTTAATCTATATGGTGAAAACACTTTTTAATTTGCTTTACAGATTAAATTAGGATCTATGAATCACTGTGTTTACAAATAAGAGCACACTGCATCTACCTCTAAGATGTAGCATCAGACAAGTATAGGATGAAAGGGACCTTAAAGATGATTTTAAGTCCAGCTCTCAGCATAAATGTAGTATTCCTAAACTATCCTAGATAAATACCTTCCCAGCCTCTTCCTAGAAATATCTGATCAAAAACTATGTTTTAACACATATTTATGAGAATGATACAACACGCTTACAGGAAAGTCAAGTCAAGTCAGTCCTGAGGCCATATCAACCACTGGGCACCTTTGATGTAGCAATAATTTTCCTCCATTCTTCCTGGTCTTTTGCAATCCTTGTACAATCCATTAATTTTAATCTGTCAAGTCTTTGATGTTGGTGATCCAGCTTGTCCTAGATCTTCCTCCTCTTCTTCATCCATCCCGGTGTTGGTAAGGGTGTCGGGTCTTCTTGTTACATGTCCAAACCACTGCATCTTTCTTCTTAGTGTGATTTTGAGTAAGGGTTCATATTTACTGACTTTGTCTGATTTGATCTTTCACAGATTCATTTGTTCCGTGTGCAGTGTAGGGTAGGTGTAGAAATCTTCTGAAGCACCGCATTTCAAAGGTCTCAGTTTGTTTTTCTGGTGC